AAAAAGAAACAGAATTCCGAGCACTTCAGGAGACTAATATGCAGTTTTCAATGATGCTGAAAGAGAAAGAATTTGAATCGCACTCAATGAAAGAAAAAGCTCTTGCTTTTGAAAAGCTATTGAAAGAAAAAGAACAGGTATGTATGTTCTTATTTATGAATATCTTTTAAAATTAGTCACATGGTAATCCATTTTCATGTGTATATATAGGTACCGAGTATTTGCCAGAAATCAGTTTCTCATTCTTCGTTGTGTCACACTAAAACAAAAATCCTCCTGCTGCAAAGTTAAGAAATGAAAAATCAGCAGGTGTATGACTTATGAATTTGCCTGTTTTTTTTGCGTCCCTAAACTACGTTTTTCACTCATTTGGAGAATGCTTATTTACTGCTGCTTAATATTTTGCTTTGACCCTGCTCACTAAGTACCCCACGTTATTTTTACTGTATGTTGCTCAAACTTTGCAGGGGCCGGCAGAACTAATTCCCTCATATGCTTTCCTCTAGTACCTGTCGTTTCCATGTGACTGCTTCACAACATCCCTGTGAGGGATGTTGCTTCACAACATTTGTCCCAGTGAGATGAATGGGTTTATGTACCTTCATTTTATGACTGGAGAAACTCCACTGCAAAAACTATGGGACAGACTAACTTAACGGATTCTTCCTAGAATTTGACATTTGGAAGACGTGGGTTTTGGAGTTTTTTGTTTATTTGTTTTTTTTCAAAGCATATGTTCAGAGAAAAGTTGTGATTTATTAATTACTGTGTGTATAGTTTGATTAAGATACATTTTAGAAGAGCAAAGAATTGCGTGGCATCATGATACTCGCATAGGTGAGCAGCAGATTGTATGAACTGCAGCCAGCTACTTGAGTTAATGAAGTGATGTGTGAATCACCATTCTCTATGAGAATCAGAAGTTAAGTACAAGTGCAGAAGTCTTTCTGTAGATTTGGCAAATACTTGATGGCAGAACTGCAGAGTGTAGCTATTTTGGTTTGCCTTGTAGGCTCTGAAGGTGAATGTGGACTCTGTGTTATGGACGCAGTGTTTTCTGGTCGTAACTTCCAAACGAGTTTTTTCTCTTTCTTTTCTCAGTACTCTGCTCTTTCTGTCCAGATCCCTGTTCTCTTCATTTTGCTGATTCTGTTTTACATTCATCAGCCTTCTCTTGCGGTTGTCCCCTTCCACGCATACTCTTTGTTTTCCCTGTTGCTCTCTCACCCCTCTTCATTTTCCAATGTTACTAATATTGATTCTGATCAGAGAGTAGTATTTATGTAAACCATTATAAAGTAACCTGGCATTCACTTTTTTCCTCCTCACTGTAACTATAATATAAAATTTGTCATCTATTTGGAGCATTTTCAAACTACTTTACCGAATAAACCTGCAATGTAACGTAACTGGAAAAGGAAAAAATCATTATTTTTAAGAGTGTATGTCCTGTTTAATAAGCAAATTGGAAGTCTCATATTGACTGTTGGTGGTACTCTTGGTGGAAAACTTAGGATTTTTTTTGTGCATGTTTTACTTAAAGTTTAAGACAGGTGGTTAACTCTGCTCACAGTTACTTTTCTCCTGTCCTGTTCTAAATGAATAGTAGAGAGTTATGGTGAGGAGAGCTTTCTTGTCTTAAAAAGATAGGAGTTTGTGTTCTTCAGTCATGCCCATATAAAATGTACTCATAATTTACAAATCCATGCTGGATTTCCAAACTGTGTTGCATGTCTTTGGCCTGCAGAGCTTTCTGCTGGCAGCTTAGGCTTTCAGTTTCACAAGTGTGGAACGTGTGGCTGGACATTCTTCTTGCACGAATCGGAGAACTTCCCGTTACACATACTGTGTTGGTCATGGAGAACTATGAAAAATAGTTTTCAAATACAGTTTTCAATTTTGTGTGTGTCAGTGTCAGAGGATGTATCACATAGGCAAAGCAGATCTGCATCAAAGGAAGCTAATAATTTATTGCAAGTCTACTGCAAAAAGAATTTTACTGTATTCAATTTGATTAGTAAAAAAAGAAAAAATGGAGGCTTTGAGTATTAATGGTGGGGAAAAAAAAAGATTGGTTTACTTCTTTCCTACATTTTCAGTAAAAGTAACTGCTTTCAAAACAGCCTATGAAACATGATAAAAAGCAAGCTGAAGAGTTTCAAATAACAAAATGCATCAATTTTTTTGGGAGGTGTACACATGAATTTTAGTTAACTGACATACTCAGGCTTCTCCTTTATATGTTAATGTAAAGTTGTAGCAAATTGCATATAAATGGTAAATTTTTCATAGAAATTTGACATTTGAACAGGTGGTGGACATTGCCCTAATTCATTGGTTCATTAAAGGTTAATCTTTTGGGGACGATGTGATCTTTTTATTCTTGGGATTTCTTTGTGTATTTAGTCCTCTTAAGCTGGGCCAAGCTGGCTTGCCTAGGCTGCTGCTTCACATATGCATGGCCAAAAAAGAGAGATCACAAAGAACAGATTTCAAACATTAAAGAAGAATTGAAATGTTGAAGTATACAAGCGCCTGAAATGTAAAAAGTTGATAGGTTATCCATATGTTCACTGCAATCAATCAGGACAGTGTATTTGTATAGTGGCTGTAGGAATAACTTTTTGTTTGCCTATTAACGTGTGAGTGAAATAACTTCAAAGCATTATTTTTTGTATTATAGGGCTATGGGTCCTGCCCTTAGTACATCAGTATCATCTTTAGACTAAGTTCTTTTGGGCAGAGACTGCCTTTCCTTTGGGTGAAACTATTTGTCACGTTTGAAATACTTGTTTGCTTCTTCAACAGGGCAAGACAGGGGAGCTGAATCAACTGCTAAATGAAGTTAAATCAATGCAGGAAAAAGCTGTTACTTTTCAGCAAGAGAGAGACCAGGTAATGGTGGCACTCAAACAGAAGCAAATGGAGAACACTGCCCTGCAGAGTGAGGTACAGCACCAAATAACTTGCAAAAAATAAAAGAAAGATCAATAAGAAAATGCGTGTTTAATATTCGGTTAGATGAGTGATTTTTTGGTAGCACTAACTTATAAAAAGCCTTTATAATTGATATTTGCAATTTACTTCGAAGGAACTATTTTATTTTTGCTTACACTACTACGTTTTATGAGAGGTGTTACTACAAGCAGCTTAAGATACGTTCTACACAGATGCAGCATCTGCGTGAGAAAGAGCAGCGCCTGAATCAGGAACTGGAGAGGCTGCGTAATCACCTTTTAGAAATGGAGGACTCCTACACACGTGAAGCTTTAGCGGCAGAAGACAGAGAGGCCAAGCTAAGAAAGAAAGTTTTGATTTTGGAAGAAAAACTGGTGTCTTCGTCTACTGCAGTGGAGAATGCCAGGTATTCTTTTCGTCTATCCAGCAGTGGCATCATCTGTAAATGTTAGTTAGCTAGTGGTACTGATGGCTTTATTTTATTGAATTAGCGTTCTAGAACTTGCTGAGCACTTGAGAAAAAGGTGTGAACTGTTGTTACTCTAAATCAGGAAGATGTGTGCTATATTCGGCTAAAAGGGTATTTGTCCTTTTTGAAGCAGCTGTAGAAATCTGAGATATTTGACAGTGCTTAAAACGGGAAATAACAAAAATCCCACAGCCTATCAATTCAGTTGTCTGTCAGATGCATTAGCCTAGAAGACAGACTTAATTGACTTTGCAGTCAAGGCTTCATTCACCGTAAAAGAATCTTATACGCTTGGATGTGCCTGTGATGCTTTATTTACTGCTTTTGAGACAATTGCACATCCTTATATTATACCTAATAGCACAGACTGCACGATGCTGTAAGTTTTTTTTTTTAAACAAAGCAAGATACATTGAGGTTCTGATGGGCAGCAGAACCTGGGAGGCTAAAGCCAATTTTCTTCTACCTATCTGCCATGAACATGTTTTTTCAGCTAGAATAGTGAAATCCAGAGAATTAAAATTACTCAATACCGATCTTGACTTTCCTTTAAAGCAACTAAAACAATGCTGGTTGCTTTGAGCATAAGAATTCTCTTTCTGTTTTACTTCAGTTGTCCAAATGAACAAGTGTTTTAATCGCGAGGGGGGGGGAATAAAAAAAAGTGTAGGTGCGATTTTTCTTACTACTATAAGTGCTGAGGATGCGTTTTGCTCATAACGGGCTCAACAAATTGATTTGAAATGAGCAGAAATTGTTGTAGAAAATTGTGGGAAAAAATAGAAGAGTTGCAGAAGATTATGTAAAAATATTCATTAGAATGTTTCTAAATTCTTCATCAAAAACATTTGTCAAATATCTTTCAAGAAATGCAGCCTATTTCCCCTCTGGTATGTACTGTTGAAACAAACTCCTTAAAATAAAAGACTGACACAGGAATAAATCAGATTAATAATCTCTTTGTGTAATGGAAAGATAAATGGGGTATCCATTAGTATGGAGCAAGATGCACTGAATTCTTGTAGGCTGGCTTAAAAAGTAAAAATTGATAGAAATTAGCAGGACGTGGGTTCTATTTTTGTGAAAATATCTTTACAGTAGTGAGCAACCCAAACACGAATTAGTTTTTCCTTTTGTAATGCACTTCAAGCAAAAGTGGTTCTTATTTTCTGATTGCTGAAATTGCCAAATTTATTTAAAATGTGTTGACTTTTTTATACGAAGAATCAGAAAGAATATTTGCCTTCATTTTTATAATTTGAGCTGAAAATTAAAGGTAGGTTAATCTTTACTGCAGAATTTAAGTTTCTATGGGATGATTTCTGTCAACTTCATAAAAAAAATGCATTTTATTTTTATGAAGTCATCAAGCTAGTCTGCAGGTTGAGTCTTTGCAAGAACAATTAAACCTGGCTTCCAAGCAGAGAGATGAAACTATGCTGCAGCTGACCATCTCACAGGACCAAGTGAAACAGTATGCATTGTCACTGGCCAACCTGCAGATGGTACTAGAGCAATTCCAACAGGGTAAGTTTTGTCATGAAATACTGAAATTGAAGATTGCGGTAAGTGTTTTTCAGATGGGATAGTTACGGTATTTTGGTGCTTTTCAAATGTTAGTTACTTGATTTTCTTTTAGATAGCTTGAATTTCAGAATCTTTCATCTTTAAACCAAACTTTGGTAAAATTCTGATTCCATGAAAACTGATGGTCAGTATCCCTTTTATGAGACTAGAATTTCACCTCTACCTCATGAAGTCTGCATGTGATAACTCTGAGGTTTTACAACTGTATATCCCTAAACACAAACAATTAGATATTATGAACTAGGAACGTTGTTAATTTTGTATTTTTTCTAATCATTTAGAAGAAAAAGCCATGTATTCAGCAGAGCTAGAAAAACACCAAAAACAGGCTTCAGAATGGAAGAAAAAAGCTGAGAAGTTAGAAGAAAAAGTTGTATCACTGCAGGTGGGCTGAGTAATATTCTCTGAAATTAAAAGCTAATTATAATACTGTGTTGAATGTTGTTATCCTAAGAATATGTGAAGTTATAGCATTGCTCACTTTTCTCTAGAAGGGAGAGGACTAAAAGACAGCCAGGAAGAGGAGCATTCCACCTCTGAACATCCATTTTCTGAGGATGTTTACAGTCCATTTATCTTAAAAGTATAAGTTATTAAAGTCTTTGCATCTATGATGTTTGATCTATGTCGCATTGACATAATTGTGATAGTGATCTCCCTTAATTCTTATTTTGTCCATTTTATGCCCTCTTTTCAGGAAAGTTTAGGAGAGGCAAATGCTGCACTGGATGCAGCATCAAGGCTTACTGAGCAACTTGACTTCAAAGAGGAGCAGATTGAGGAGCTTAAGAAAGAAGGTAACTGCTTTTTTTCATTTCTCCTTAGAAAATTCCAAGCAACTGAGGGGACAATGTAATATTCCTAGAAACTTACTAGAAACTTTCTTTTATGAGAAAATAATAATTGTAGTTTAACTACCATTTCTTTAATAACAGCTCAGCCCTGGCCTGTAGTTTTGCCTGCAGTTTCCTTGAACCAAAAGTGAAAGTTACTTCTCTGTGTCTAGTGGCATGACGCTTGTGTGATATAAATGGATGTCACCAACAGTACTGAGTGCTGAGGGAATGTTAGGCTGCTTTCCCCTCCCTAACCACATGGTGTCTTCTCCCATTTTTCCCAACCTGTCTGACTGACTTTTCCTCTTTATTTCTGTGGGTCACCATATTTTGTTAATACTGCAGCATCCTCTGTTATGCTTTCACTGAGCACATGGGGTAAATCTAAAGCTGGACAAAAACTTGTGACTTGTCCCTGAAGTTTGAGAGGAGGCTCTCTAAAGGAGGTTCGAAGAGCAGAGGTTTTCTCTTTCTCTGCAGTTAGGCAACAGCTGTTACTTTCTGTTCTTTGTCCCATGTCTGTGGGACACTTTTGAGGGAGCACCTTTTATTAGGGCTTGCAGTGGGGAGGTGCCTAGAACATCATCTCTGCTGGATGCAATGGTAACTCTTTTTGCTGTGAACATATTCAACTAGTTATTGCTATTCATTTTTAAAATACAATTATTCTTCCTCTTAACATACATAAATATTTATGTATGTGTATATGTATATATATGTGCACACATACAAAGCAAAATTTTTAAGCAGAGTTGCTTGTGACTGGATAATCA